AGAACCAGGAAATCCACATTGGTATAATATTACTTACTATACTGTAAGCCCTTATTTGAATTTTGTCAGTTTTTCCTTCAGTGTCCTTTTTCTGTTCCAGAATCCTACACAGAATCCCACATTGCATTTAGTTGTTATTTATTCTCAGTCTCCTGTAGACTATAAGTTTCTTAGTCTTTCCTGCACTTTCACGACCTTGATACTTCTGAAGAGTACTGATCAATTATTTTGTTGAATGTCCCTCAGATTGTATTTTCTTTTCTTTTCTTTATTTTTTAGAGACAGGGTCTTGCTCTGTCACCCAGGATGGGTGCAGTGGTGTGATTATAGCTCATTGTAATCTCGAACTGCTGGGTTCAAGTGATCCTCCCACTTCAGCCTCCTAAGTAGCTGGGACTACAGGAATGCGCCATCACGCCCTGCTAATTATTTTTGTTTTTAGTACAGATGAGGTCTTGCCACATTACCCAGGTTGGTCTCAAATTCCCGACCTCAAGCGATCCTCTTGCCTCAGCCTCCCAAAGTACTGGGATTACAGGCATGCACAACCGTGCCCGACAAGTTTTCTTCTGAGTGGACTGAGGTGATACACTTTTTACAAGAATGCCACAGAAATGATACTGCGTCCTCATGTAATAGGATGTGTGTATTACATAATGCGATTCATGATTGTTGTACTACTAGTAATGTTGACCTACCACTTGATTAAGGGGGTTTTTGCTGAGTTTCTCCTCTGTAATGTTATTATTTTTCTCTGGATAGTTAATAAATGTCTGGAGAAAATGCTTTGAGACTATGCAGTCTGTTTCAACTCAAACTTTCGGTCACAGATTTTAGCATCCATCTATATATCCTTTCTGCGACAATTATCGTTGTGATGTCTGCCTAGTGGTCATTTTCTATTTCTCTCTATTCTTCTACCATTATTAGTTGGATTTTTTTCTGTGGTGGCCAGGTCTGGGCAAACCTGCCCCCCAAGTCCGAGGAAGCTGAGAGGCCAAAGATGCTGATAAATCCATTTTCTTCTTAGAAACATTTAATAAAACATCCAGTTTCTTAGAAACATTAAATGAACAGAAGCCATATCTCTGTCTCAGATGGGCACAAGATGAGATGGTGGGTCCCCACGCCATTACCCCCAAGACCCAGGTCTTATATACCAAGACCCAGGTCTTATATACCATAAAGGAGGGGTAGTTCAGAAAGGATGTGTAGGATAATTGAAGTATGATAACATCAAGGTTGTTGCCTAAGGTCAGGATTTAAGGTAAGTGCCTGCTCTTGCAGAAAAAACAGATAAACTAGAAATCTTAGAGGCCTTCCCAGAGCAGGGGTTAATCAGAAGCCAACGTGGCAGAGCATCATCCAAGATGGAGTTGCTTTAGCCACCACAGAATTCTACTTAAAGGAAGAGTTGTCCCTTCTCCTCCACTTCTTTATTTAATCAATTACTTCAATATATGGTCACAGGAATATTTATTTTACCATGTGGGTTATAATCCACTATGGTCAATATGGTTATTATTTAGCTTGTTGTTCAAATTGTTCCAGCTTTGGTCTTTTGGAGATTCTTTAGGTTGATGCCTATGTACCTTTGACAAATCTTATTTTATTTTAAAGCATTTCCTTACTTTCTGGCACCACGAGATATTACAGGCTCATTTTGTAATTTCCCTGACCTGCCTGGGACCAACAACTTCTTGAAGGAACCCTGGTTCCTTTTATTTAAGAATAGTATTTAAAAATCAAATCTGGGTACTAGGCATGCTCACTATTACTGGAGTATCATTGCTTTTAGGTCCTATGACTGGGCATATCTGCATGTATACTAACCCGTTAGTATACACTGACCTGTGTACATACCCCTGTGTGTATACACTTCTATATTTCTGTATAAGTACTAAAAATGATGAGTTGACAGGTACAGTAGCTCATGCCTATAATCCCAGAATTTTGGGAGGCTGAAGTGGGAGGATCTCTCAAGGCCAAGAGTTTGAGAACAGCATGGGTACATAGCAAGGCCCTGTCTCTAGAAAAAAATACAAAAAAATTCACCTGGCATGGTGGCATGCACCTGTAGTCCCAGCTACTTGGGAGGCTGAGGTGGGAGGCTCGCTTGAGCCCAGTAATTTGAGACTGCAGTGAGCTATCATCATGCCACTGCACTCCAGCCTGGGTGACAGAGTGAGACTCTGTCTCTAAAATAATAAAAATCATGATTTCATACGAATACATTAGATTCCTATTCAATATCAGAGTGTTCATTTCATCTGAAGGACTTTTAAAGACAGGTGTGTCCAAAGTTAAATGTCTGGTTTATGTGAAAGTACCCTTTCCATCACTACAGCCTTTTAATTGTGACCAATATACACACAAATGGCTTGTGTGTATGTCAAGGAAAAGGGGTCCCTGTCCATGGCTAGAGCAATATAATGCAGAATAAGAATATGAGATTCTGAGATGACTTATAAATTACACTAGCTGAGCAAAGCAAAAGGTCTGAACCAAAGGTAAATAGGAAAACGTAAGGCCCTCATAAGGGACAGACAGCATATGTTCTGCCATTTCTACTTTCTGTACCAATGGCAGATATCAACAAATGACCACCACACACTGACTGACTAAGCAAAAACATGGCTCCAAATTTTCAGACATGCATTTCAGACAGCCACTACTAAGCAACTGGAATTCACACTGTAGATGACTCCTATCCCTAGGTTAAACAAATGAACAGCTCATGTAAACCATATTAGCTGGGAAAGGAGGGAGAACATTATCCGTCATTAGATTTTTGCACAAATTACAGAAAAAGCCTGACACAACGTGGTCAATGATGTTCAAAAATTCAATGACATGAGGCCAGTTCCTAGGGTTTGGCTCATGATACAAGGTTTCATATCACCTGGTGGCCAGTTCTTCATTTTAGTTTAGATATCAGTGGGACAGACTGTTAACCATGTGTGTAGCTGAGATTTCCAGGTCAGCATAGTGACTCCAGGCATCTTCTAATTGAATGGGACTTGTTTCTATGACCGATCCTAAGAGAATGGAATGGATAACATTGTGGACACAGGACCCACCCTCCACATTCCTACTTACTAAGATGGAGTTGCTGCTGTTTCTCTCCCCTCTGGGATTCTCTCTACCTTCCATGTCAAGCCTCTCCTGTGCAAATTTAGCTCACCCCAATTGAAGAAATATGTTGAGTAGAGAATGGGAACCAATTGCCAGTCAGGTTGTATATGAGTTTACATGATGGTGACCGTTTCTTACACCTGGTAAGAGTAACTAGCAGAAAGCTGTGGCATGAGCTAATGGGAAATAAGAGAGACAACTATGATGGAAAAATGGTGAGGACAATAGAGAAGGTAGGTACTCTGGCAGAGGGACTGCAGAATAATGCTTACCCTTGGGCCTGTGAGTAGAAAGTCCCAGAAGAAAAGAGGGTAAGTTGAATGCAGTGTAGAAAATCTGGCTTTGTCAAATCAAATAGAATTCATACGGAAAAATGCTCACAATACAGTGTTCACTAAAAGTAATGTGGCCAAAAAACCCTGTGAATATAGTTTGGTCCCTAAGTGTATGAGTGTGTGTTTTCTTTAAATGTGTTACATGCCTACTACAGTAAGACGGCAAGGACCGGGTGGAGAACAGGAATGAATGGACATGGTTTCTGCCCCCATAAGGCTTACAGTTTAATACAACAGATAGCTTTGAAAGTAAACAAATGTTAAGAGTGATTATATCATTGGCTATCACATTAGGGATGAGTTTATTTTCTTCTTTATAAATTGTATTTTCCATGTTTTCTACAAGAATGATGTATGCCTTTTATAGTGAGAGAAAAGCAACACATCTTATATTTTAAATGAACAAACATTACAAAAAATAAAACAAAACAAAGAAGACCAGGCTACAGGTATCAATTCACATTCATCAGGCTTATAATAACAGCTTTCTTCACAAAACAGAAAACCAATTTTATGTATTCAGCTATGTCAAAGTCTTACAATAGTAGCTGAAATTATACAAACAGGGTTAAAAAATCAATCTTTGCTCACAAGGCAGATTAAATTATTGTTTGTATGGTGTTTGTGGCACAGGGAGGTGAGAGGATAGTTAGCATCAGATAAAAATACTGTATTTCTTTGATTAATAAGGGCTAACTAGATGTGTTTATATTTTATCAACATGCAATTTAACTTGATGTAGCGTAACATTTTCTATCCTCTGACTTGCAAAATGTTTCCATTCTTGGATGAAGATTTAGGAGATACTCTAATACACTTTATCAGCATCACACTGCCAAAGCATCTCTTAGAGAAATAAAACTTGAAGAATGTTTATTATTACCTATGCTATGTCAACTTCCTAACTTCAATGCCAGAAAAAGCTTGTCTTACATTTTAAAAGTGAAGTAATGGAATATTAATAATAGCAACTACACGTAATGAGTATTTACTTTGTGCCAGACATTTTACATTGATCACTTCACTAGATCATTCACAACAAAAAAGAATCACAGATCCATAATCTCTTATTTAAAACTCTGGGGACTGGATGTGTTTTGGAAATGAGAGGTTTTTGGAATTCAGGAAGAAATTGGAATCCTTTCGAATACAGTACATAAATTGCATATATTTTGTAACATTCCAAATGGGTACAGGATAGTACTATGTAATGAAACACATTAATCTTACTATTTCTGCAAATAAATGTATGAAAATTCACACTAAATGAAACAAAACCATAAGTAATATTACAATTTATTTACCAAAATATATTAGTAAATTTATTGGTAAATAACATTTTTACATAAATAAGTTTATTGGTATATGAAATAGGAAGATAAATATAGACCACACATACTATAAGCTTTGAATGTGTTTTGTCCCTTGTGAAAAAGCTTCTTATTTCTAAAGAAATTTTAAGTAAAATTTAAAACTTATACTGATGAAAACTAACCCATATCACATATACATGCAATGAATGTTCATTACCTCTGACTGCCTGAGAATCTTGGAGAAGAGGTTGTTCCAGTATTACCATGTCTATGAAACCAGGTTGGAGCTGGACATCTGATGAGCCAGAAACAGGATTGTCAAGAGATGAAGCGGCATAACCAGAGAGAGCTTTATTAAATACTTTTCCCAGTTTCACCTGCCTCCTTAACACTGGTTTCTGTCTAAGCAGTTTCTCTTTAATTGACTAAATTATCATCAGCTCTTGCTCACTGATAAATGTACATCGTTCAAGGCCAGCAATTAATCAGTCACACATTTTCACCATATGATCTATGGAAATTTTTTTCACCCAAATGCATAATGTCATCATCATGACTACTACCACCTTCATATTGATCTGCATTTAACATCATCTCAGCAATTTCCCCATCACTCTTAGGGTGCACTATGGGTTCATCATTATCAATATTAACCATTTCTTCAACATCAGCTTCTTCTAACTTAGTTACACTTTTGGCTGATAAACTTTTGGCAAAGGTAATGAGTTATGCTACCATTGTCTTCTCATTAGAGTCATGAAATCCTTCAAAATCTTCATCAGCTAGGTCATTTTCAAACATCATTGTAGCCCAAAGTCTGTGCCAACTATTTGTTAATGTTGACTTATCAACATCATTCCAAGCATTAGCAACTGTGTAGATGGCATCCTTAAGACTAAATTCTTTAAGGAAGTCCTGGATTTTCAGGCCTCTGTTAACTGAAGCAAGTATACTTTAAAAAAAAAAGTGTTTATACTTGCTCTTCACAGAATGTAGAATTCCTTGGTCACAAGGCTATATTACAGACATCACACTGGGGGAAAAGTCAATGACAAAAGCATTGCTCTTCACAAGATGTGCAGGAGGGGGATATGCAGAACCGTTATCTAGAAACAATAAAATTTTGCAATTGTCTTCTGGTCCAGTTTGCAATGAGCTCATGCTGCTGGCACAAAGTGCCTATCAAACCAGTTGGAAAATATTTTCCATTACTGATGTTTTCTTGTGTGCATAATAATGTACAGGTAAATTATGCACACCTTTTAAACACCTTGGATATAGGCTATTTCCGATCACTGCCAATTTTATCTTGTGTGTGCCTGCAGCATTAGCATGCCCAAGAACAGTTAACTTTTGCTTGTTATCTTTGACATCTGTTGTTGCTCTTTCGTTAGCCATTGTTGAGGTTTTTCTAGGAACACAGCACCAGTACAGAGCTGTTTCATCAGCATTGTAAATCTGTTCAGGGCTAAGATTTTCATGAGATATTATCTTAGCAAATTCATCAATGTAATTTTCAGTAGCTTCATCATCAGGAGAAGCTTTTTCACCAAGATTTTAAGATACTTGATTCCATGACACTTTTTAAATTTCTGCAGCCAGCCTTCTGAATATTCACACTCTCCTTCAACATTCAGTTCTTCATGGTATATTCTAGCTTGTTTCATGACCAACAAACCAGTCAGTGGTATATCTTTACTTCTTTGTTGTCGAATTCATTCACTCAACACAGGGTCAAGGTCTTCTTTTTTGGCTCTATGCGTTATTTTTCTAATTTTCATTAGTTCCCGGTTATCACTGTCACTATAAAATTTCAACACCTTGTCTGTTTCTTTAAGTCATATATCGTGGTGGTTCCCATACCATATTCTTCAGTAAGACACCTCACAAACATACGAACATCAAGTTTCTGCAATAACTCCACTTTCTGAGATACTGATAAAGACAGATGCTTCCTTTTCTTCTTCTCACTGTTACCCGTAGGTATATCTTTAGCTCTTTTCGACATTTTCCATGGAATTAATCCCCAAGTCAGAAAATGTCAGCAAATAGAGGCATGTGTGACTTATGGATACAAGTGCTGAGACAATAGAGGCTTCATATTTGTTCACAGTAGGTTTTTTTTGGGCATATAATCCTGGTGCCAAACTTACAAAAACACTTTTGGGTTTCACAGTGTTTTTGTTTTTTGTCCTGTTTTGGAATTGCAGAGTAGAGACTGTAGACCTGCATTAAAAATATCATTTTAATGATGAAAAGACTGAGGCTCAGTTAGTATCTTGCTCAAGGTTATGCAGCTACTACTTGTCTTTTCTGCTTATATTTAGTCTCCTAATATGTGGTCACTTTAACAGAAAGAAAACTGTTTGTTTTTCTGGTATTGTCTGCCAAGATGATTTGAGCTAGAATAGTTTTAGCACAGGAGCCTGATACTCTTATTTGACTGACACAGTCAGTAGTTGAGCCCCAATGCTGAATAACATGGAGATGCTGTGGCAAGAGGTTAGAGTTCCTAAATTTATAGTTATTGAATATAGATTTTTCTTTTTGTACCAAATGATCTGTTTGGTACTTACTGCCTGTTACTTACTGCTTCACAATGAGCAATCAGGAAAAATGAAAGAGCTCACTGCAAATGTCCCAAACACCCCCACAAGTATTCCCTAAATATCCACTCATTTAAAAGGACTTTTGTTTGCTTGTTTCTAAACTGTTCTGAAAATTGTACATCCCAACTGTGACTCAGAATTGTTAATCAAGTTCAGAATTAAAACACATTTTATACATTCTAATAAAATGTTCTTTTAATTTAGAATTCAGAAAGAATTCATTAGCATTTTTAATGACTTTTAAGCTTCTGTGGTTTGAGCCTTATTTCATGGACTCTTTTATAAGTTCCTACTGGAAGGCCAGCTTTTCTTCCTCATTCTCATCTTCCCCATATTTAGATCTTCTTCATATATCTAATATGAACTGTTACAAATGACTGAAGTTTACTGATTCACTCCTAAGTCTTTCTTTTTCTACTGGGTGTAACAGCAGTCCTTTTGGCTGGACTGTTATAAAAATGAGTAAAAGCACAGTTCTGTAAGACAAAATTCTAAACCCCCCAACTGACTGAATGGACCCCTCTGTTGGCCAAGGGCATTCCAAATTAAACCTGAAAAACTAGTTCAGGCCTTGATGGGAAGGGTGGTGGTTGGGCATACCTCATTGTTACCCTCCTCCCTTTGGAATTCAGGCACAAGTGATCAGCGTTAACAATAAAACAGAGATCTTAACACTGGCAAAACAGACTCTTTGTAGCAATAAGATACCAAATTCTAACCTGACTCCAGTATAGCATCACATGACAGCAGGCCCTGAAAGAAACTGAAGTATTTTACCCCAAAATATATTTCTTTGACATATTTTGAAATGGCTCTGCAAAGCTGTCTCTTGTGGGGATAAGGATCCTATAGATAACCCTTTTTCTTTTTTAGATCTTTTCCTGATCCAGGAGAGACTAACTAAAGGTCTTACATAATACCTTTTCAGGTCTGATAAGAGATATTTGCCATCTACTCTCTCTGAAGCCTGCTACTTGGAGGCTTTATCTGCTTAACAAGAACCTTGGTCTCCACAACTCCTTATTTTAACACAGACATTCCTTTCCACTGATTCCAGGTCTTTAGATAATAATTTAGCTCTTTCAACCTATTGCCAATTAGAAACCGTTTGAATCCACCTATGACCTGGAAGTCTCCCTGCACTGCCCACCGCCAATTCGAGTTGTTCTGCCTTTTCAGACTGAACCAATGGACACCTTACATGTATTGATAGTCTGCCTGTTAACTTCTGCCCCTCTAAAATGTATAAAATCAAGTTGTAACCCAACCACCTTGGGCACATGTTCTCAGGACCTCCTGAGACTGTGCCCCAGGCTTTGGTCACTCATATTTAGCTCATAATAAATCTCCTCAAATATTTTCCAGAATTTGACTCTTTTTCATTAACGGCTAGTATAATTCAGAAATGTTTAAATTCTAGTAAATAATTGGGTATTATGTGGAATACCTGGGTGACAAAAATTATCTGTACAATA